GCCTTTTATTTCTTCTTCTTGTCTGATCGCTATGGCTAGCACTTCCAGTACTATATAGAACAGGAGTGGTGAAGGTGGGTCTTGTTCCCGTTCTCAGGGGAAATGAGTTTAGTTTTTGGCCATTGAGTATGATGTTGGCTGTAGGTTTGTCATATAAGACTTTTATAATATTGAGGTATGATCCCTCTATTCCCACTTTGCTGAGAGTTTTTATCAAGAAAGGATGTTGGATTTTGTCAAATGTTTTTTCTTCATCGATTGATATGATTATGCGATATTTGTCTCTCAACTTGTTTACGTGATGTATCACATTTATTGATTTGCAGATATTGTACCAAACTTGCATCCTGGAATAAATCCCATGTGGTCATGGTGTATGATCTTTCTAATGTAATGCTGAATTTGATTTGCTAGGATTTTGTTGAGGATTTTAGCATCTATGTTCATCAAGGATATTGGCCTCATTAAGGATATTGGCCTGTACTCTTTTTTTGCGGTGTCTTTGTTTTGGATTTAGGTTAATGCTGGCTTCATAGAAAGAGCTTGGGAGTGTGCCTTCCTCCTAAATTTTTTGGAATAGTCTGAGGAGGATAGTTTTTCTTTGAATGCTTGGTAGAACTCTCCTGTAACACTGTCCAGACCAGGACTTTTGTTTGCTGGAAGATTTTTGATCACTGCTTCAATTTCTTCAGTAGTTATCAACCTATTCAAATTTTTTTATTCTTACTGATTGAGTTTTGGGAGCTTGTATTTTTCTAAGAATATGTCCATTTCATCTAGGTTGTCCATTTTGTTGGAATAGAGTTGTTCATAGTATTTTTTCATAATCCTTTGTATTTCTGTGGGATCACTTGTTACTTCACCTCTTTCATTTCTGAATGAAATTCAGAAATTTTTGGAGAAAATTATTTAATTTGTAGTTTGAGTGGTGATATAGGCTTGGTAGGTTTTGACTTTAGTAAAGCACTTGACAAATTTCCCCTGACTTTATTGTATTTTCATAAGGCTATTATGAGTAAATGGAGATTCAGTTCTACATAGTTGAAGGAAAACTTTTTCTTTTTTTTATTAAGTTTTTGAGGGTGACTTTGGTTAATAAGATCATATAGGTTTCAAGTGTACATTTCTGTACAACATATGATACATGATCTATATATTACATTGTGTGTCCATTATCCGAAGTCAAATCATCTTCTGTCACCATATGTTTGACCCCCTTTACCTTTTACTATTCCCTGAGCCTCCTTTCCTCTAGTAACCACCATAATCTTGTCTATGTCTATGAGTTTCAGTTTTATATCCTACATATGAGTGAAATCATATGGTTCCTAGCTTTTACTGACTTATTTATTTCATTTAGCATAATATTCTCAAGGTCCATCCATATTGTCTCAAATGGTTAGGCATTAAATACTAGTAAAAATAGTATCAACAATCAGAAAGCAAAAACTTTAAGGATGCAGGAAAATAAAATACTATAATAGCAGTAGACTTTAACTCAGCTCTCTCAACCTCTGACTGAAGGAGACAAATGTAAGAATATATATTATGTAAAAAGCATAATTAACAAGATGGCCCCAGTAGGTATATATCCAACTTAAACCTGAGTTTGCAACTTACTTTACACTGACCATGAAGCATTTATAAAACTGATCATATATTAGTCCACCAAGAAAACCTCAATACATCTCAAGGAGTAGAAATGTATAATTCATTTTTAACAATATCAGGAAAAGTTGTTACTAGGTTAATATGATGCAGCTTCTTGCACATTACTTTTACTTGTGAGTAAGTAATATAAATAAATGATTGTTTATATATTAAAACATTTATGGGGTACATAGAAAAATAAACTATGTCAATTACATAAATTTTTAAAGATAAATCTGAAAACTCAAAGAAACTGTATTCAACTGGATGACTTTGTGTTGTCTTCAGTCTCCTCAATTCTTCATTCCTCTCTGCTCATAGGAAAATTGGACCACAAACCTTGAGAAAAATTGTGAGGGTATATCTTTTTAGAGTTTAGTGAAATGTAGTTAATGAATCCTTGCTAAGATGAAGTTAATAGGCTTAAAATGTATCCCCCTCCCCCACTTTTTGTACAGAAAACTTATGAATACTGGCCAAAGGAGTTTCTCTTATGATGTCATTTAAAGCCCTAGTCCTAGTCATTAAAGGAAGCTTTTTGAAAACAGGTATGTCCTGCTTTTGAAACTTGAAAATTGAACTGGAACACGTGGTGTTCCCCTAGGCAGGATGCAAAGGTGGCTTCCCGGGTTCTTGTCCAGCTGGGTTAGAAGAATAAAACCATGGACAAAAAGTGGTATAGGAAAAGGTAGAAATTTATTGAGAAACAAGCACAGACTCCCGCGTGGGGAAGGAAAGAGAGTCCCACTAAGTCCCTTTTTTTCTAAAGTTTATAAAGGCTACAGTTCTTTGTGTCTTGATATCCCCTCTTATTGGTCACTATAGCAGCTTCAGAGTTTAAACCTCATGTGAGTTCCCCTCTTCTTCTCCCTTTTGTTTTTCTATTCCCTTTGGCCTTCCTCTTCCCTCACTGAATGAGTGGATTCCTTTCCTTTATTCTTTAAATATATGGCAGCTCCCTTATTCTATGGATGTGTGCCCTCTGGCAGCTCCCTGATTCTGTGAATATATACCTTTGGGCAGCTTCCAGCTTTGCAGCCCTGTGGTTCTCCCCAAAGACCCCGTAATTCCTAAAACTTTCTAAACCTGCCTATTTTACCCCTAAAAAACTCCTTGTACTTTCAGCTACAGTTTGAGGTTCTCTGGTAAAAGCTTTGTCTTATTTCCTCTTGCATCCCCAGTACTTGGCTGAAGGCTTGACACACAATAGGTGCTCTGTAAATGCTTATTGGATTCATAATGTAAGCTTCTTCTTACCTGATAGCAGTAAAATGGATTTAGGGATATTGAACTTCCCCTTTTCTATCCTTGCTCAGCACAATCCCTCAGGGTGATGGTGGGAAGAAAAGTTTACACTTAAAGGACAAATCAATGTATTCCTATCTGCTCCCTATTGGCCTGAGTGTTATAGCTAGGTTGGTCCCTCCCACTGTTGAGCATTGAGTCAAGGGTGAGTGAGAGGGTACCTGTGACTCTAGCTTGCATCAGTGTTCAAGAATAGTAGGATGAGTTTAAATCTCTTGTTTACCTTTGCCTCCTTTGTCTCTTCCAGGTGTGGTAAAGTCCACCTGGGAAACAAGGAAAGACTAGAGATTTGATTTAAGAAAAGAATTGTTGGAAAGTATCCTGATGCCACTTATCTATTGCCAAATATTCTCTCTATAGCAGCACAGGGCAGGAGGAAAGTGGTCAATGGGCTCGAAGGATCAGGGGAGGGAAAGAGTTGCAGAAAAGAGAAGCCCCTCAGAAAAATGTGTAGGTGAAAATCATCTAGCTACATAAAATAACACATCCATAAGAAATGAATTTGAGAATTATTTTATTAAGAAATGTATCATGTCAATACAAAACAATATGTACATTTAGAAAAGTGCTTACTGTTCATTTTGACTGATGTCACCCCAATAAATTTAATAAAAAAATAAAAAGTGCTTATACAATAAATTAAAAATGTATTCCATAAGTTTAAAAATATATATTATTTTAGCTTTAATAAATGTACTTCTTCAAGATCTGCTTGCATATACCACTCTTATCTGTTACATAATTTTTAACTTAAACTATTTAAGTTACATAATTTTTAACTTAAACTATTTTCACGATATTAATATGAAATTCTTTCAAATTGCTCCACTATATGTACAGCTTTTTGTGTGTACCGTTTTGCTTCTACAAAAAACAAACATATTTCCTTCTTTTGTAAATTTTTAGTATGAAAGAAATGCCTGCCTTTTCAACGGAGGTTCATTTGCTCTTGAGTTCAACTTTTTTTCTTTTTGAAGGGAAAAAGTTCTCCTTCTACTATACTTTTAGATTCTTCTCTTGAGTAAGGCCTATGTAGTTCCAGCTGAGAATTACTATCACAAAGCCAGTGGCTCAGACATCAATGCTACTGAAGTCTCCCTGACATTTGAGGGGTAGTATCTCCCCCACATTATAAACCAATATTAAACAATAAAAGCTTACAAAAATAAGTTAAGAAACCCTTCTGTAATTAAAAAAATAATTAGTAGTGATCTTTTAAATGTCACAGAATTAACATTCCATCTACCTAATAAGGATGATTTTTTTGTTGCTGTGAAATATGACTTCAATGAAGGTTCACTTTGTTTCTATTAAAGACGCAGGAAACGACGCCACAATCCTATTAAGTTCGAGACTATTTTCTGGCATTCATTTATTGTGTCTTCTCTTTTCTTTCTTTTCTTCATTGCCTGGGCATTATTTTTCTGTGGAATAAGAGAATCAGTAATTAAAATTAATTGTCACTATCTTTAATGGCAGGTTACATTGTCTTCTCTATGCAAACCTATTTCTCAATGTATTCCCTTAACACCTGCTTACTGTCTGGGCCTGTGTGCTTTCTACAGAGGAATACCCTCCCATTTTTCCACCCACTTACTCATGCGTCAAGGCCAAGCACCACCTCCTTTACAAGGCTTCTGCTAATTGCTCAGACCTCTCTGTTAGGAACTATTCTAGTGTTTCACAGTGTGTTTAATTTAACTTGGCTCTCACTTAAATGTTTTTTTTTTAAATTTATTATTGCATCATGGGTATTCCCCACAGTGCTGAGCAGAATGTTTTATACAGAGGACACATTGAATGAGTAAATAAGTGAATAAGTCGATGACTTCATGATCTCCTTGACAAGATCGTAAGTTCCTCTAAAATAGGACATTTCTACATCTTCTTTACAGATATAATTCAAAATCCTCCTGCCTTCAGTCCCTTCTACCACTGAGTTGTGCCACAGACACCTGAAGGTTTTTCTGAAGAGAGCCTAAACTTAAAAAAGATTGCAATGATATTTTAGTGTTTTCCTCTATCTAAATTACTCTTGAGTAGTGACCTTGACTGGACCTCCTAGATACACAACATTTGGGTCAAGAAAGTTTACCAGGTTATAAGCAAAAATCTTACAATCTAAAATTTGCTAAATCATAAATTTTTAAAAAGTACTCCAGACTCTCCCTTTCTTACTATCCAGAACTTGACCTAGCCTGTTCTCTATGCTTTCCTTATATGGATAAACTTCACTGTGGCCATCGGTAGATTTACTAGAGTCTCCTTGATAGAAGGCACAGAACCAAACCAGTTTTTCACATGTAGCCAGACTCACCTTATGGCTTCAATCTCCAATCCCTAAAAAAGTGACAGCCTTGGCCACACAGACTACTCAGTGTGCAGACTGATAAAGTCCCTTGGTTAATAGACAGCAATCATACATCTCTGCACTTGTTTCTCTTTGTCTTTTTAAAATTTGTCATCCAGAAGATAAACCCTCTGCTTCACTTCCATGCTGAAATAAATACCTACTGAGTACTAGTTGCATGCCAGGCACCATTCCAAGTGCTTTTACTAATATTGACTCATTTAATCCTTATAAACACTCTATGTGGGTCTGTTAATATGATCCTCATTCTGCAGAAGAAATTGAGCACATAGAGGCTAAGTAATTTATCCAAGTTTTCACTGTTAAAAGTTATGGGGCTAGATTCAAAGTTAGGCAAGACTGTCTCCAGACTTCCCGCTCCTAACTCTGTACTACTGTTTCCATATTTAAAGTTACGCATTCATTCAAATGCATGTAACTGCACATGCAAAAGCCACTATGTAAAGAGGCAGCAATATCACCCATACAAGCAATTAAGCAAACATAGGGTAAATATTTGATGTATGATTTATCATTTTAAGAAAGAACGCCCAATTATTAAGTGATAAGCCTAAGTAATGCTGCTCAAATTGTAGAACGGGCAAAAATCTCATAAGAAGCCCTTCCATACACAGGGACTGTGATTTTGAAGGTCTAGGTTGGGTCCCTGGGAATTGGCATTTTGGCCAATAACCTCCCATGCTCAGGCAGCCAGGTGACATTCTGATGTAGGAGGCTCAACACTCGCCTAAGGTTTAGAACCATAATTCTGTAAGAAGAATCAGAACCCTAGAAATAAGTGGGATTCGGTCGAGGTATCAACCTAGGACTAATTGACAATCTACAGCTCTGGCTCATTTGCTCTCCAAAAGATAGAACCTGAGTGAAAATCACAGACTTCTGCACTGCACGAAGAGCCCCTCTTTAATTCAAGGTTAGCGCCAAGATTTTAAAAAAAAGAAAGAAAGAAAGAAAAGCGAGAGTGCTTGACGTTGGCTTACCTGCTTTCGGTAGTAGCCCGGGCAAGAGCGTTCGAGCGCAGCTTCGGTTCTGCTGGCTAATTCTTTGGGGAGTGACTTGCAGCGCGGGGTAGGATGCAAGGTAAGGCGCTCGATTTTAGTGAGGCAATCCGGCTGCTCGCAAGCGGCGACGTTCACGAGAAAAGGAGAACATGCCACGGGGTGGGGGGTAGGGGTATAAAAAAACAAAGAAATGGAGTTGGTAAGAAATGAGTGAAAGGGGAAGCGGGGGACGCAGCCAATGGGACCCGGGTGAGGAGAGGGCTAAAGACCCCACGGAAGGGGAGGAAGATGGGGGCTCGTGGGAGTAGAAGGCGCGGCAGGAGAGAGAGGACCTGCGCCACCGCTCGGCCCGGGGGACTGCCAGGAGGCGGCGCCGCGGGCGGAGGCACCCCATCTCCCCCCGCCCCGGGTGGTGGTGAGGGGTGTGCCCCTGACGTCGTGCCCTGATCCCAGTTTCCTATTTGCCTTCCCTTTCGTGGGGGTGGGGGACCGGGATCCTCTTCCGGAATCCCGCTCGGTTTCGAGAGAGACTTCCTCGCCCTAAACTGGAGCAGAAGTGGTGTCCCCAGCTGGGCACCAGCCCAGAAGTTCCCGCAGCCCAGTTCTCCTTGCGGGGTCGGCGTCGCCTGGGAACCCAACTACCGCCCGGGGTTGTACCTCCGGCTGGATGCCCCTCCCCGGGATGCCTGGCGCCCCACTGGAGAGAGCCAGGAGCACCGTTCAGCCACTCACCTGATTTTCACAGCTGAGGGTGGCGTCGCAGTCGGAACACTGGAAGAAAGGAAAAAAGCATCCGACGAGAGGGTAAAGACGTGTTCACAGGAGAATCCCCCCACACCCCCCACTGTTGCTCCCAGGGTTTAAAGATGCCCTGCAAGCAGTTTCCACTTCCGCACTTCTTTTCTATGCATCGGTTCTTGTCATTGACAAAATAGTGACACAGTGGGAACCTTCAGATCTGAAGATTCTGCTATCGGAAACAGTATCAATGGGTCCTGGTCCTGGAGGGAGACTCCTCCTCCCCACCAGCGTAGGCAGACCTGTAACCCTGTGTACAGGGCTGCACATGAGAGCAATATGCCACTTTCGAATGCCCACATCTGTCCTAGAGCGAGCCGTTCATGCATTTCACACATGTGTGATCTATCCAGAAATTAGAAAAATTAAGAAAATGACTGCTACTGTGTTCTAAACAATCTGAAGCACACCTCATCCCATAATGGCATCCCAAGGCATCTAGAACGCTAGACAGACCTGAAGGGCAACCTCACTGGTTAGGTCTCAGCTCACAAGAATTCCCTCTTTTACTCCTCTCTTTTTCTCAAGCCTTCTCTTTCTCAAGCCTATTTTTTTTTTTTTACTTTTTTTTCCTGCACCGGCGGAGCAGCACTTTAGCCCAGTATAGACACCCCTGATGGATCACGTGTTACCTATCAATATCTGCTCCGCATCAGCATCTGCACACTTAATGTGTGCCACTTTCAGGTTGTCATTTTAGAGGCAGATATATTTCAATATCACTTGCAAAAATTTCTGACACAATGCTGGATCATGATCTTTTCCCAAAATTATTTTTCTTTTTTTGAAAGTAAAACTGTGGTGTGTGTGTGTGTGTCTATGTGTGTACTCTTCTGATGAAAACACATTGTTTTTAAAAAGGTTTCTTCACTTACCGTCAGGTCCTTAGAAATGATGTTCAGGTAATCCATTCTAATCTTCTCAAAGTCACAATCAGTGAAATTGCTGGTTAGCACCAACCCTACCAGTTGCAAAATGAAGATCTTCCTGAAAAGAACTGACAGAACAAATAATAAGGCATCAGGCAATGTCTTTGAAAACCCAGTTCCACCCCAGTTTCACATTAAACTCTTTCCACCCACACTGAATTGCCTCTAGATCTGCAAGGCCAGCCTTAGGGGCAAGGGCTCAGGCACTAACTACTCTTTGCCTCTTATTCCCAGTGAACAGAAGCCCATATTCACCCATGCTGTTGCCTTAGGTTGGAGTCTCCCTGATGCTCCAGAGCTTTTTGGCTCCACATATATAATACCTAAACGCCTACGGGCCCTTTTCTCCTAGGCCAATGATTTTCCTTGATGTCATTTGCTTCCTTCAGAGAATTCTGAATTGATGACATGAAAGAAAAAAATGGGACTAGCCAAATCTATGGAATTTTACCCTTAGTAAAATCAGCAGGAATTTCCCTCTCCTCCTTTGATCTTTGTCCTAAATCCTTGATATATGCCTGTATGTGCTTTAAGAAAGAGATACCCACACCTTTCTCCTACAGGGCCATTTCCAACAAGCCCCTTTCTTGATGGAAAAAAATACTCCCAAACAGCATCCACTCTGAGGATTGGGTTCATGCCATACACACTGAGCATTTCCTTTGGCCAATTTCAACTACTGCTTTCCCTCCTCTGTGGCCACTGAGAAAACTCATGTGCTTACTTCATGGGATGCTTTAGAGTGTGGGTGCAACCTGAGGCTTGGACCGAGTTCCCATGTGAATGTATTAAATGTTCAGTAGTGACCAGAATCTTAGAGGCAGGAACGAGAAAATGCTGAACTGAAACGAGTGGGGAAAAGTCTGATGGTCAAAGCATCCTTTCGGGGTCGAGTTGGGGATGGCCGGGGAAGCGCCTCAGGGGCTATGCTCTCTTCTAGTACTTCTACAGGCGTCAAGAACTTTTAAAAACACTAACCCCAGCGTCCAGTCACCTTCACAGTCTCATCTCTCGGGCCAAACGTAAGAGCCAGGACGCTAGACTCAAGCAGTGGGACCAGATGGTGCGGAGCTGAGCGCAGCGGCGGCGAGCGCCCCGGGAAGGTGCTGTCCAGCGCGCCGCGATCCCAGAGGCTGCACCGTTCAAGCGCCCTGCGCCCCACGCCGCAAGCCTAGACAACTTTGCTTGCCTCCGGTCCACGTTGGGACCTGAGCACCCGCACCTGTTTTAGGAAGGGGGAAAGGCACAAGACGGAGGTCACGTATTTGAAACTGGCAAACCCTTGTTAACGCAGCCAAGCAGAGTTTAAATTCAGGGAAGTGAGTCAGGGAGAGTGCCAGAGAGGATGCGGAGCCGCCTGTGGCTCTGGCAACGCCAGCAGAGTGTTAAAAGGACGAAAGCCCGCCTCCTAGCAGGCTGCTACAGGACTAATCATGCTCTCCTGAGCTTGACCCCCTGACGCCCTGGCTTTCCTGACTCCCAGTTCTCCTCCCTCCCCTCCCCCCCCCTTCCCCTCTTTCCGGAGGCTAAAGAGCCCTGGTCCTTGGGAAGCTCTTAGTAGGCATCGCCGGAGCCCCCACGGCAGGGTGATCCACGTGAGTTCCTAGCAAATGTCACAGGTCACATGGCACCTGGGAACAAAAGGAGGGGTGGCAAGAGAAGAGAAAAAAAGTACAGTCTCCGTGTTGGGGGTTAGGACTCGAGCCAGAAGTGAACTTTTTTTTCCATAGAAGGCGCTCAGCAGCTGTACCAATACAGCTGGACCCAGTTCTCGGGTTAAGGACCGAGGAGAAAGGTTGTGGCGCTAGCAGCAGTAAGGGAAAGCCTCTGATTCACCGCATGACTTCAAAGGTGGGCTTTTCTGGAATCCTCCAAGTCTAGGGTTTAATGTCATGCAGCATCCTTTGGTAAAGAAGCACCCCCGCCCCCATCACCAATTTTTCAGGGTGTCTTGGGATGATGCCCAAAACGGATTCATCCGTTGTGACATTAGAGGTGTTCCTGGTGGACACCTGGGCATTGGACAGGCAGACAGGACATGAAGACACAGATCTCTTCCCTGGGTGAAGATATGCTCGTGGGGCAGTAACAGAAGAAAGGTCACCCTGGCTGAGGTTCTATTTCCATTTTTCTAGGGTGTAACCGAGCTGCCTCCTTTTCTTTATTTCTTCCTTTAAAACATTACATCTATGGCAAGTTTGAGATGAGGCAGACAGGGTGCCTCCTCCTCAGGCATTCTAGAGGATGGCTCTTAGACTGTTAAACACACTGCTAAACATTTGTCCCTGGGACCCCCTATTTCTTTATCTGTAATTGTGTGACCTCTTAAATCACTTCAATTACATCACTTTTCTGCTTAAAAACTCTTGGTAGACTCCCAGTTGCCTTGCCATTTACAATCATCTCTTCCCTCTTGGCTCCATGCCAAGCATGTCAAACTCACAGGCTGCATGGGGCCCACAATGAATATTTTTGTGGTCCAGCCAATATAACAGTATGTAAGAAACATTTTAATAAAAACTTCATAGCTTAATTTTTACAATATCCTTTTATACAGAAATATTAATAACGAACTACAATGTTCGCTGACTGATTACTATAATCGTGCTGCATTCATTTCCCTTACCCACCTTACATGTAGGCGCACCCTTTCTCTCCACTAATACTAGCAGGGAATATTTTAGCAGCCAATGGCCATGTCATTTGGTGTGCACAACAGGAAATATTTCCCTTTTGGAGAAGAGAAAAATGGGTTTATTTCCGTTACGCTTATTAATTTGTGTAGTTATTCAGTGTCTGGTAAGTTAATGTTCAAGAAAAAATATTAATTTTTATTAAAATGTTCTATTATTTTATGTTAATGATTACTTATTTATTTCAGCCCTTCTTATTCAGCATGTCGCTATCAATATAAACCTATATTTCTATGAAAATTGAGGCTTTTGTTTTTTTGTGCCTCACATAAACTTAAACCTTGTTTATTTGGCCCGTGCTAGCCTTTGAGTTTGACATGCTTGTTCTATGCTGTTTCTAGCCTTATCTCCAATCTTTTAGGCTTCTGCCAAATTGTATTTAAAGTAATCATGCTCTAAATGTGCCCTAATCGTTGTTCTTTCAGCCCTCCCACCCTCAGATTTTAACTTTCTCCTGTTAGTCCATGCTCGTTTCACTAGCCATCTACTCAAAAGTGGTCTCCTACTTGGCTGTGACCACATTTTCCTTTTAGACATATTTACCTTGGACTTCCCTTTTATAACCTCAATTCATTACATAATATTTCAAAGATGTTTTTTACTTTATTTATTTATTAGACTGTGAGTTTCCTTAGAAGCAAGCAATGTTTTATATTTAGGAATTTGTTCAATATCCATTTACTTTTTCCAAAGACATTTGAAGTGACTTGCAATAATTTCATTGGTGCAAGAAGGTAAAAAACAGTGAAGATGAGGCAACATAAAGGACAAAGAATAAAGAAAGTGAGGCTCAGTTACAAGGAATGCCATAGGAGAACATTATTAAGAACTAGGCAAGCTCAAAAGTGAGTTCTGATCTTCCAGTCATTGCAAAGAAGAACATAAGATGGGCTCTACAAGTTTATTAGGGAAACCATTATTTTCTTAGGACTGTGGTCATCATCATAGACACCATAGGTCCTAGTCTTATGTGCTATATGTAATAATAGATACTTAAAGATACTCAAAAAACTGAAGTATATTAACTTTCTTTTAAGACCATTGCCAGGTAGCAAATCATTTCCTATTAAAAGAATCTCTCTAAAAAGACTTCTTTTTCTGGCTTTTTTGCTGCCACCATCCTGTAATCTACTTATGCCTTGCCTGTGGCAACCATTCAGCTAAGGGCATCTCTGAAAATTTGTGATGGGCTAAAGAGCTTCCCATTTTCTCTCTCTTCATTTGTTCAAATGCTGAAGGTGTGAACAGTATCTACACGTGTAGTTTGGGAAATCCTAGATTAGGCCAAGAATTGAAGTGAGATCATTTGTATCACTGTGATTACTCAGAGCTTATGCAATTCTCTCACTCAGGAATGGACCAGAAAATGACCTACGACACAACTCTCTTTTCTCCTACCCTAACTAGAAAGATCTGTCATTCACTTATTTCCTTAATATTTTTATCTTTTTAAAATAATGGCTCCCTTTGTTTTTCATTTCCTTATTTTCTCCCTCCCTCTTTTTAAATTCACTTCCTTCCTCTTCTTCTTTTAACTGTCATGAATATTTAAGTAGATTGAAGTTGACTGGGAGGGGGAAAAAGATTCTATATTTTTAAAATGTATTAAATCATAGAGTCTTTGGACTCAAAATGGAATGGATACTAGGTAGGTTGAGAAAGAAAATGGGAAACCTCTTGATGAAATGGAAGAGATTTCCTTCTACGGAGTAAGAAACATGGATGATGCCAACCTTATCTTGGTAATATTTTAGAAAGTGTAACAATGGACTTTCCCTAGCAGATGGGTGGTTTTTGGGGAGGATTGGAAGTAGAGATTGCTGATTATATAAGCACTCTACCTCTTGGCTTTTGTATACTTATCCAAAAAGGAAGGGCTACACTTTGCAAGGGTGAACAGTTTTTCTTTCTTGAAATTTTACCTACACTTTTTTGTAGTCAGGTACAGTATTTATATAATGTGAAGTGCGTCAATGTGAGATCAATGCAGCACATATCTATTTGACCCATTAATTTTGCATTGTACGTTTGTACTCAGCAGCCTTTCTGTTGGTCTGAACCATTGATTCATCAAACTCCATACATCCTCTAAGATTCTTTGGGGAGATTTGTAGACCAGCAAGTGAAGTGAGTTAACTATGACACATGTGAAAAACATACCTTTTATTTTGTTTCATTTTCAGGCCAGTGATACTTGCATGATCAGCCTATTGATCAGGGAGTGAAGGAGACTAAATATATGTATAAAAGCCTAGTGCTTGCAGTCATTCCCCTGTAAAGAAACAGTCTTAGCCTCAGCCATTTGTAGGTAAAAGATCTTGCTTGCTTTACTGTTTTTCTGCAATCTACTAGGAAACAAAAAGGGAGAAGATTATGCAAGCAAAAGGTAGGTATTGAGTTTTCTTAGAATGTTTCAAAAGAGTTGTAGAAGAGATCAGAGTTCAAAAGTAGTTCCAATTTTAGATACTTTTGCAAGGATAGTTACCATAGTTGTAAATAAAGTATCTCCTATTTTCCCCTCCAGATATACTCTCCACCCTTCCTCATCTTGCTTTGTACCCCAGGG